AGCTCTAATAACTCCCCAGGGGATGCTAGCAGTGGCCATGGGTGTCCACACTCTGAATCACTTCCTGAAGCACAAGATAAACGCCAGCTATACTGTAATAACAGTCACGAGGCATGTCTAGCCTGGACAGTACTTCCAAAATAAGTAAGGAGATGTATGTATACAGCTCAATGTTAAATGGCTATGTGTCATGATTAGGTTCGTAAAGTCAGAACAAGCAGACAGTAACCTTGTCCTCTAACTCAACCGAAAGGTAGAGACCAAGTCTACCACTGCTGGATAGACCCTGGACCTGTGGCTTGGGTTTCCCTTTACACACACACACACACACACACACACACACACACACACACACAATCACACCCCTAATTACCACTGCAGGGAGAGAGTCAGAGCTAAGTAAAATGCTCCCCATACCTGTAAATTCTGTACACACAGCTGAGAATGAGCCACTAACAGTGCTTCTGGTGAGTATACGCCTTTACAGCTTTCAAAAGCTTTCCGGTGATCAAGACAGTCAGGTCTCATGAAGAGATAGATGAAACTGATGGGTGGAGCAGAAAGGGGAGCCCAGAAATTGACCACACAGATGTAAGTACTCAACAGATTTGGGGGGAGTTCTTTTTGAAGCAGGGTCTCACTGTGCAGTTCAGGCTGGCCTTCAGCTCACTTTGCAGCCCAGGCTGCCCTCGAACTCACAGCCCTGTTTTTGCCTCAGCCTCCCAAGTGCTGGGATGACCGTGGAGCGCCACCACAGGGACACTGACTTTGAGCTGGTTGTCTCCACCCTTTCCAGGCATGGAGACAAAGTGTCTCATGAGCCAGAAGGGGCTCACAGGACCCATCCTCTTCTTGTCTGTGTTCTTTACCTCCTCCATGGACTTAATGGAAGATGAAACTCACCTCAAAGTTTACAGCGATTTCGCTGCTGGCACAGAAAAATGCTTGGCTGGGTTCATGAAGGCAGCTCGTGGGGCTGAGGTGAGCCTCACCCTGCATGATGAGTGACGATTTTTCTTTGGTGGCAATATCTCCTACATCTCTTTGAAATTCCTCTCTCTCTGTCTGTGTGTGTGTGTATGTCTCTCTGTCTCTCTGTCTCTCTCTGTCTCTGTCTCTCTCCCTATTTCTCTCTGTCTCTGTTTTTTCTATCTGTCTCTCTCTCTGTCTCTCTGTCTCTCTCTTTGTCTCTCTGTCTCTCTCTCTGTCTCTGTCTCTCTCTCTCTCTGTCTCTCTCTCTCTCTCTCTCTGTCTCTCTCTCTCCCTATTTCTCTCTCCCTCTCTTTCTCTTATTTTTTGAGACAGGGTCTTGCCATGTAGTTCAGGCTAGCCTTGAACTCACTAGGTAGCCAAACTTCCAGGGATCCTCCAGCCTCAGCTTCCAGAGTGCTGGGGTTATAGGCGTGCACCACCACACCCAGTGTCTCTTTCTTATTGAATGAAACTGTTTGCAAGAAAGGAAAGCATTTCAGGCCAGGCATGGGCCCTCCATGTGAATTAAAGCCCGTGTGTCTGCTCTCCCATGAATGAGTATTGCAAGCTGTGGCTCTAACTGTGGAATGACCGTCTTGAACCCTTTAAGGATGTTTCATGGGACAGCTAAATACAAGGAAGAGGAGAGGCACTGCCCGGGTCCATCTAAGTCCACGTCTTGACACGCGAGAGCCATCTATGGCTGCGCCTACCTGCCAGGGAACTCAGACTAATTCTAGGACATTCCATGAGTGTTATAATTCATCCTTTCAGACACTTGCTGGTTTTCACAGCTCTTCTCCTCCTCTAGGCCCAGGAAGCAGATCCGGAACCCTGGAGGCTCCACGGCCCCTGGACACCTGCCCTCCGCCCTCCCAATGCCCCTTTCTGGCTGCTGCCAGATCTTACTTGAAAAAGCAGAGCATAAGCTTCGAGGACCAAATGTGGCTGTGGGTCCTGCAACAAATGCTCACCGAGCACAACCCTTGGGAGCAGAAAGCTGATCGCGCCCTGACACGGCCGGTGCCCCAGAGCCTGTCACTTCTCTCCACCGGAAGGACATCGACACTCTGAGCCAGCGGAAAATTCAGTGTGTTCCAAGCCAGAGACACAAGTGTGCTCCCAAAATGAGTGCTGGCATTTGGCAGCACTCCAGGGCATTATAAATATAATCTTCCCGAGGTGAGGGTGTGTGCAAGGGGGAGAGCCACGGAGAGCGTGTGCCTTGGTGTGGTGACAGATCCAGATGGGGGAGCGGGGTGGGCCGGGGCCAGCGAGTGTCAGTGTCAGAACGCAGGGCCAGGCCCGGGGAAGGACGTCCACAGGAAGCCCAGGGCTGAGCTCAGAGCTGCACAGCGCTGCTTCTCCTGAGAAATCAGGGGAGGGGAAGGGGCAGGAGAGGGGACAGGGAGAGAGGACACGGGAAGAGGACAGGAAGCAGGGAGAGTCACCAGACATAGCCCATAGCCACACACTGAGATGGACAGCCGGAGCAGGTCACTGCTGATACATCCCGGCTTTCTCAGTGGGCACTGGCGGCTGTTTCGGACTTGTTGTGTTTTTCAGGCCACCTAAACTGACTACTGCACCCTCCACAGCAGGATCCCACCTCGCTCGCTCGCCAAACACATGGGTTTGCTGAGGATGGGCTCGGTCCCTTCTGCACTTCAGGGCCACAGAAGCTGGCCGGAGGGATGGAAGATGACCCTGCAAAGGGGTCATTATAACCAATATGGCCCCACGGCCATGGCTCATAACCTTTTTGTGCCACAACCTCTTATTTGGCTGTTAAAGAACCCTTCTCAGCATGATGCTTTTATTTATTTTTATTTTGTTCTTTTTTTTTTTTTTCCTGAGACAGGGTCTCACTATGTAGCCCAGGCTGGCCTTGAGCTCACAGTGATCCTCAGTTTCCTGAGTACTACAATTACAGGCGTGGGCCATCATGCCTGGCCAGAATGATGCTTTTAAAGCACAAAATAAAATATGTAAAACTTAAAAGAAAGTCAATTCTATTGTTACAACATCAAATAGTTGATATATAATAATATCATATAATGATACTTGTGTTCCTTTATTGGTGTTTTCAATAAGATCTTGTGAAGGGGCAAATAATGACCATCATTTCAGAGAGTGATGGAAGAAGCAATATTTCCGAGTGGCTGCAGCAATTATCAGGTGTTATGAAAAGATCTGTGGTTTCCATGGTGACAAAGTCACAGGTGCTCCCAATAAAACTGAAGTGTGTGTTGCCTACATGCTTAACAGAACCAAATGGTGACTTCAGAAAGGATGAATTGAACAAAGTTGCACTTTTTGTCCCATTCAGATTCAGGAACCAGAGCAAAGATTTATCAAGGAGAGGGGACCAAGGGCGATTATAACAGTCAGAGGAGCGACAATAACACAGTCACATCAGCTGTCACCATGACAACCCCCTGCTTTCTGGACTCTGGCCTGGGCCAGGTGCTTCCTATGTATCACTCCAAGGAAGCCATCGTTGTGCCCACTTTACAGATTAGGAGAATGAGGCTCAGGGATGTCAGCAATGTGTCTGGGATCACAATGGATGAGTAGGTGTCCACTGCTATGAATAGGTGTCAGTGTTGTGTAGCAAGAAGCCACATTCACCATGTCCCATGGAGAGTAGTGTGTGCCTCTGTGTGTGTGTGTGTGTGTGTGTGTGTGTGTGTGTGTGTGTGTAGGAGGGGGAGAGCAGAGACGATTGCCCAATAGCACCATCCTTTTTCTCATCCATGCCCCAATGAACTTGTTTAAACAGCTATCACTAAACTTGAATATCCAGTTCCCCCTTACTGACATTTGTTCCGTCTTTTCAGTTCAAGCCTCAGAGAGTGATGGAAGAAGCTTCAGTTATTCAGCATATGCTGGGTACTACGTGTGCTGACCCTGAACATTCTATGATAAATATATACCCTGATATTTCAGAAGCATATTGTTTCTTGGAGAAAACAGGTATGTGAATAGGTGAATCACAACCTGCTGCAATTTGAAGCCAACATACAAGAAGGAGAATCCACTGAAGTATGTGATTGGAAAGTCCAGCAGTGGGGCAGGCTTCAGGCATGGTCTGAGTTAGGCTTCTCAGAATGCTACGCCAGCAAGTGTGTGACAACTGACCCTTCTGAGAACAGAAAGCTTTGATTTGTAGTGTTTGCCAATTTCCTAGATGCACATATTCCCATCATGCTCTGCTTCAAGCTACCAACACGTCATCATCAAAGACCATAGATGGTGCACAAAGTAGCGTGGTCGTATTTGCCCATTCTTGTGCCTGTGAATCAAATCATCCCTTCAGACCTGAGACACTCCCACCCTCCCCCCTGGCACTGCCATGGCCAGAGGAGCTGCCAGACCCATGGACGAGAGGCCCCTGTTGAGAGAAAACTGCCTCTAGTGGTTGGTCAGTGGGTGAGTATAAGAGCCTGGCCCCACTGCAGGGGTCAGGTGAGGGCTGTTTTGCAAGCATAGCGTAGGTCAATTTCACCCTCCCATCAGGCCTTTCTTTCTCCCTTTCAGCCAATGAGCTCTCACGATAAACCTCCTGCATGTGAATCTCCAAGTCAGCTTGCACGGAACCCAATCCACAACACCCATCCCTGAGCAAGTACACAACCTGGGGTCCATCCCAGAGGTAGGTGTGGGTCAGTCCCACCCACATCTCGTGGCTGCTCTGCAGTGACAGAAGGTCTCTGGGGGTGGATCTTGAGACACAACTATAATGTCTTCTAAATAACGTGATGGGCAAAGAGGTATAAAAACCATACGAGGCTGCCACGTGATTTATCTGGACAATATTGATGTCCAATGACTGGGGCATTATAGGTGCAGAGAAAGAAAGAAGTGACCCTGAACGTCTGGAAAGAACCACAGCCCGACCTTAATATTATTCCTAGCTGATCTGACACTCACAGCCAGGCCACTTTGTTTCCCCGCTGGACATGAACAGTCTCACGGAATCCAACCTCAGGCATGCTTGCTCTCAGCCACAGTAAAATAGAACATAATAAAAGTTGCTGCATAATTTATAATTTTGTCTACAGACAGAAAAAAATAAGGTCACCATGCCACCCGTGAAATCCTCAATTGCAGAAACCTGACTTTCTGATGATAACCATCCTGCAGCAAACCTTCTTAGATCCTTACCCCACTGAAGTCCAGTTCTTATCATAATTTCTTCTGAACATTGAGGCAGGCACCCCATTGGGTATAGTCTTCCTTAACTGAACGAGCCCTCAGTTGATTGATCGCCAGGGTGTCTCCAGCGCCCTTTGACTGGAAATCACTGAACAGCCTTGGAGGGTAACGGAGTGTGCAGACGCCCCTGCTGCTGCTCTTCCGGGGGACCTAACAGTAGAACTTTGTGCTGAAGGATGACCAGGCTTTTCCAGGCAAAGCAGGGTTACAGGGAGGTCATTCCAGGCACAGGAAGCAGCCTGTGCTCGTGCAGGAGCAGGAAGGGGAGCTGAGAACCAATGCAGAGATTTCTGTAGGTCTCACTTGATCCTACAGGCAGGAAACAAAGATGTCTAAACTGGAGCTCTAAGTTGCAACAATTCTTGGAGTAGCTATAAATATTTTATTCCCAATTTTGTTCTTTTTTTTTTTTTTTAAGAAGGAGAGGAGATAGAAAAGACAGTGTGCAAGAAAATAAAATCAAACTGCGTTATTTAAGTTTGCCCAACCTGAATTTAAGGTAGCTGGTGGGTAACAACAAATCCTTTTCTCCCTGGATGCCTGGGTGACTTCTGAGAAAATGTCATAACCTTCTCCCCCAGATTTAATAACCAGCTCTTAACTTCATAATTCCTCTTTGCTTTGTCAGAACTAAGAGCAGTTGAGTTAGTCACTTCCTCTGTGGTCACTAAGGATCTTGTAATATACTTTTCTCTAGCCAAATGAGACTTGCAGATATCCTGCTAGAGAAGGGGCCAGTGCTTCCCAGTCCCTCTGCGGAAGCATTCACTGAAGTCATGAGGTCACAGGAGGCTTGCAGCAATCTCCGTTATGGATCCTGGCCAGTGTGTGTGTGCGTGTGTGTGTGTGTGTGTGTGTGTGTGTGTGTGATAATCTTTGACTCTCTCCAATGTGGCCCCCATGCTAAAATCTCCTCCTCAGAAAGTGACATCTGACCTTGCAGGCAGCAGGACTAAGAGACGCCCCTGTGTGTCTCAGCCCTGCTCGAACCATACAGACCTCTTCCCGGAAGGAGCTCCCCCTACCCAGGGTTGTTCTGTCTGCGTCACCTGCCAGTCACAGGGCACTTGCACACCCCACCTTGCCTTTCCTCGACTATTGGTCTTAGGAGTATTCTGCAAGCATTTGTTGATTATGGGTCCTTTTCAGGTAGTATAGATCTGATGAAGCTGAGGCAGGCAAAATGTGAGAGTGTGTGTCCCCATTCTTACAAGTCCCTCCTCACCACCACTGTGGAGAATTTTGTGAATATTTGTGAAATCTATGTCTTGGATTTTACCACTTACAAGTATCAATGAACTGTGTATTATCTTCTGATTTAAACACATATTGGATTACAATGTATCATTTTACTATGAGCTTTTTCTCACTCCATATCGTCTTTGGAGATCCAGCTTTATTGTTAATATATGCAAAGACAGGGAGATAAATGTTTTGCAAATGGGAAGAGAACCAAGAGGTGGGAGGCAGGGAAGGGAGAGGTGGGAAGGAGTAAAGAGACTTAAGATGTGTTATGTGAAGGTACCAACTCCCCGTGATGAACGTAGTCATGGTGTACCACACACATGTACTAATAAAAATTTTAGAAGAAAACCTACAGCTGTACTCTGCTTTCATTTATCTTCTCAAAAAAAGAGGCACTTAAAATAGTGCCAAGTAAAGATTCCTTAAGGATAAGCTATTATTTTTTGGATTTAGATCATTCCTCATAATGTATTTTACAGTATTCTATCAATGATCCTGCTGTCACTGGTGACCACTTAGGTTGTTTCTAATTTTTTGCAAGGATAGTTAGTGCCTTAAATAATACCCTTAAACACATCATGTGTCCAAGAGTTGGTCTGTACTTAAAAGTGGGTCTGCCAGATTGTCAAGAAAATGTATTTTAAGATTTGCTGGTTGCTTTCAAAGCCTTTGTGCAAACCCCCATACATGAGAATTTCTGTTTTTCTATATCTTTGCCAGTCATCACTGATTTTCCACAAATGTAAGGATGCAAAGTGATAATCTTGGTTTTGCTTACATTTTTCTTATATTTTGCTTACATTTTACATTACTAGGAAGACTGGATTTTTTTTTCTGTATTTATTTGCCACTGTTTGGGCCTTAAGCTTTCCTGGAGTCACAGACCCTGTGGAGACCTCCCTTAGAAGAGCACAAAGGTGTATGTATACATTGGGGGTGGGGGTGTTAAAGAGACCCTAGGGGTCCCCAGGATGCCTCAGAGGACAGACTCTCCAGCTCTAGCGCCTGCAACAGCCTCCTGGGCAGTTGTAAGAATGCAGATTCCCACGATCCATTTTCAGGTAACGTGACTCACGGGGGCCTCGGGAAGGCACTGAGGGTGTGTGCAGGTGACAATTCTAAGACAGCTCTGGGGGCTCCTGATTTTCTGTAGGAAACGCCTGGTTCTAAAACAGAACTGCCTCTTCTCCCACAGCTTTGACACAAAGAATAAAAATCCCCAAATTTAACGTGCAAAAGCTATAACTTGCCTTCAAATTGATTTTGTAGCTACTTTAAAAACCCAGGGCACTCGGGCAGGTCTGCCTTTCAGCTCTCCTGTCCACTGCTTAGCTGGGAGCAGAGAGGAGAAGACAGATGAAGAGAGTGGCATGTGATGCAAAGAAAAACAGAAGGCAAAAATTGGGGAATTCTAAGCTATGCAGAAAATGCTACATTGAAGTCACCATCTTACTAGATGTGAGCAGCTTGTTTGGAATGGTTGCGTTTCTAATTTTATCACGAGTGAGCTCATTTTTTTTCTCAGCCAGATACTTTGAAGATTCTTTTGTGAAGAGAAGGAAATAAATTTAATTTCCTTTCAGATAGAAATGCACATAAATGACTTTTACAAGATGAAGAATACACAAACCCAAGAATTTACAGGACGTTTTGAGAGCAATTAGGAATCCCGGCATGATGTGATCACAACGTTACACACACATATTTTCTCCCCTTTTTTTCAGGCTTGCAGGCGTCCTGAGAGTTAACCGTTGGTTTTGATTCTGTTGCATGCTAGTGTGCTCCTCTCAGGACCCTCTAGTGAAGCTTTCTCTGGAACCCTTGCAGAAATTCAGCTCCTTGCCTGCCCCCAGGAATAAGCACCGAGATCCGGTTCTAAGACCTCAGGATGACTCACTAGGTGACTCTGGTTCGGTAACAATAGGAAAATGACTCAGTTGCTCTGTTTGTAAAACTGGAGCATCGATGCTGGCTGCCTGCCTCACAATGCAGAGCTGAAGGCAGCTCTGAACTGAAAGACAGCCTGGGTGTGGAAGCTCAGCAGCAGACAGTGCAGCCATCCCTGGTCTCTGTGGAGATGGTACCCTCCTGGTTCCTCATGGACTCAGAATGCAGAGGTAGACCAGTAGGCTTTCAGAAGCTTTCTCTTGCTTTTTATCACATTCACGTAGCCATAAAGTGTTCTAGAGTTTCAGTTTCAATCAAGGGTAGTCAAAAAATAGAGAATGGTTAAATTTATTTATTTTAATTTAAGGATGAAAAGAAAGAGAAGGAAGAGAATAAGAACGAGAAGGAGAAAGGGAAAATCTACAACAAAACTTCAAAATATGTCAATCAGGGGGCAACATACATTGAATATTGTCATCCCCAAATCTAGAATGATTAAGTTTTTAAAATTTATTATGGTAAGACACCTGGCCACGACTCCCCTCCAACCCCTTACCTTGGTTCGAACACGCCCACCATTCAGTCACCTCCTGAAGCAGGTTGTCCTCTTTTGTGCATATCTTTACAAAGTATGTTTTTAAAAAAATGCAGTAAATCCTGCTCCCAAGTGCTACCCGGCGGGAAGGCAGCCTCATAAATACATCACCGTGTGTCCTCATCTGCCTTATTCATGAGATCCGACACTGTGCGACTTCTGGCTCTTCCCCCAAGTCAAAATGACCATGAAAGGTCAGTGTTTTGAATGATGCAGAATTTCAAGGCAGCCACCACAGCACGACTGAGGATATTTATAAATGTGTTCATTAAAGGCAAGAATTACAAGTGATCTACAGATGTGTATATGAACACATGCCTGGTGAGATGTCAGGCATCCTCAATATAAATGCTGTATAATAAATGAATACTTGCAAATAGAGAAACACACACATAGATTTGAGTTAGCATTTTTCTGGGACTAAAAACAACAGATTCAGGCAGAGGGGCTACTTCTGGTGATACATCATTCTTACCTATGTCTGTGTAGGTTATGGACACAATTTCAATGATAGAGAACAAGTAACCACAACCTAAACTAAATAGTTGTTTATTTCTCACTCATATAATTGGGTTTTTCCATAGCACCACAAACTTGTATTTCTTCTACCATTCTTAGACTATTACCCTTAGTTACATGATCCATGTGGCTGACCACAACATCCACACCCAGCTGATAGAATCCCGATAGAATGGGGAACAGAAGAAAATCACATCTTATTTTCCAGGCCATTGCTCTTCAGAACCCTTTGGCCAGAACTTAGTCACATGACTACTTCTAATTACGAAGGAACCTGGGTCCTTATTCAAAGTAGCACGGGTCCAGATGAAAGCCAGAATTCTCTAACAAAAAAAGAAAAAAGAAATAAATATTATGACAACTATCTATCTCCACCACACCACCCAGCAATTTAAAAAATAACTTTTTGTCAAAGCATAGAGATGTAGATTTGCCTGAATCACTGAGAAAAATCCCAGTGGACTTGAAGATTTAATTAATCTTACAGGCTGCAGCTGCCCTAGGGGAAAACCACCAGCATCTCCTGAGATCCACGCTGTGTTAGAACTTAGGACCTTGAGAAACCAAGCAAGCAGCTCCCCTCCCTGGTAAACGGTTGTGGTGTGGCAGGCTGCAGCTGTCCCAGGGGGAAAACCACCAGCATCTCCTGAGATCCACACCATGTTGGAACTTAGGAAGCTGGGAAACCAAGCAAGCAGCTCCCCTCCCTGGTAAGCGGTTGTGGTGTGGCAGGCTGCGGCTGTCCCAGGGGGAAAACCACCAGCGTCTCCTGAGATCCACACCATGTTGGAACTTAGGAAGCTGGGAAACCAAGCAAGCAGCTCCCTGGTAAGTGGCTGTGTACGGCAGGCTACCGCCCCTCCAGGGGGAGAACCATCAGTGTCTCCTGAGATCCAAGCAATCAACCTCCCTCCCTCCTAAGCAATAGTGAGCCTACTGGTGCACGGGCTGAGAGTCAATCATCCCACTTCCCCATCCCCTTTCTCCTGCCCCGCCCCCCCCCGTTAACAAATGGGAACCGGAGATCTGAGCATCTCTTGGGAGGTACCATCTCTTTGAAGGCAAATTTTTATTACTGTTTTGATTTATTCTGATTAATGGTACTGCTCTATTCAATATTCTGTTTTGATAAGTTGTATAATATTCTGTATTTCATTTTATTTTGATATACGTGATTGAAAGAACAATTATTGTGATGATAACGAGATATACTGTGATACCTATTTCTGTTATCCCGGTAACCTGCTGTGAAGTTCTGTACCAATTTCACTACACGGTCTCAGTTGGCTTTATTCTGTCTTGTTCTGTTGTATTTTACCACCTTCAAAATAAAATTTTTTTTAAAAAATTAATCTTACAAGCATACCCCAGTCTATTATGTAGCTGTTCATTCAGAAGCATGACAATTCTCAAATTCATGTTTGTCTCTTAAATAACTTATACTTCCATAGATTAAGCTCTCATATATTTAAACATCCCTTATAACAAATTTAAGTGTTCATACTGTGGGTAGAGCTTCATGTTTTTTACTTCCATGAAATGATCACTTTAGTCACCATCTACCCCAGACTAGAAGATAAATGCCTCAGGTTTGAATTCAAAGATCTGTCTGCATGCACTTCAGAAATAAGAATAAAAAGCCAGTGAGCCTACCCAGAATAGAATAGGCTAAGAAAGATCAGCTAGACCCACAGTAATAATTACAGTAACCACAGAACAGTTAAAATCCAGGGAGACCTCACTGGGCACCAAAGGCTTTCACCTGCGTCATTTTGTTTAGAACATCAGAAAAACGGAGAAGGGTTATGGAAAAGCTTAAGTAGCTACCTTAGTTAACCACACAGCTACCAAGGGGCAGTGCAGGGACTTTAACTCAAGAACCTGAAACCAGTGATCTATGCAGCTGAGGGGACTGTGGTCATTCCCTCCACCACCTCACACACACACACACACACACACACACACTCATACACACACACTCACATACACTCAGGATTTGAAGAAGTGAGCTACAAACATCTTATGCAAAGTGTCCATATAGTCTTTGTACAATGAAGAAATGTGGAAAGGTTATAAATTCATTCAAAACTAGTTCTAAACCTGGTGATTTCCTGTGATTATTGAGAGCCACAAAATCCAAGTTATTCCGGATATCAGGCCATTTTCGGGTAGTGATCGCTGCTCCAGCATCTCTTTCTATAAACGACTGAAGTCTGCCTTGACAGCAGCAAGGACACAGGAAGGCACGTGTGGCTTTATTCCCAAATTAGGAGCAAAAGAGGCGTCTAATAACTACACTTGGAGCGAATCAATGTTTCCCTTTAACGTATTATGTTAGAATATTTGCAACCTATTAGAAATGGTTAATAAAAATAATTATGGTATTAGATGTTGCTGTGCTTCAAAATTTGATACTAAGAACTTAGACTATAAAAAGTTTTGCTTAATCCATGTTAACTTATCACAGGAATTTAATATCCCCACTGACTTGTGCGTGTGTCTATGTTCCCTACGTAGGATTTCATTTCTATTAATAAGTTTGTTTACTGGACTGCTTTTTGCCCCCAACACTTTGTGTGATCGGTTTTAAATTCGACACCAGTGGATATGAAGAAATCAAGTCATTTAAGAGCTCAGAGTGCCCCAGCACGTGATAATTAAGCTACAAATAGAATGACCCCAGCCCCATCTGTCCTTAACAAATCCATTCTTAAAAAGAAATAGATACCTTCCTCCTGAGACACGTAATTCGTATAGCACAGCATATAAAATTAAGTGGCGCTTTCTCTCTGGAAATTCCAAGTGAAAATTTCAGAAGCCTTTTCCTCTAGACTTTAGAGAAGGGGACACCACATAGGCAGCTGAGATTTCTACTGACCTTGCACAGATTTTTTTTTTCTTTTATGGAAAGAAGGTAAAACAAAATTTCATAGCAAAATAATAGGAGACTAACAGTAGAATGAGTAAAAGGTGGAAGCATACATGAAAGACAGTTATATTCTTAGTGTCTCTTAGATCATTAAAAAGGAAGATTTGCGCTAACATCGATTGGAGGAATTTTTATGTCTGTATCTTCTACCCTGAGCATAGATTCGTCTTTATAGCAGGGCCTCTCTCCACATTGTCTCTCAATCCAGGCTTTCAGCCACAGGCCTGTAAAGAGAGGAACAAGGCTCACAGCAAGCATGGACCGAGGGCTCATACACCTCACCACCTTCTGTCTGGTGGGGTCCTGCGTGTCCTAAGGATGACTGTGCCAATCGTCTTCGGAGGTCACCTCAAGGGCTTCGCCCCAAGCAAAATGTCTGCGAGAGGAAGACCCATGCATTGGCTACCTGTTTGCCTCCCTTGATATTTTCTCCCTGGATTTTTATTTTGAATGTTTCTGATCCACAGAAAAGTGGGAAGAATAGTTTAAAGAACACCCACAAACTTTTCACATGGATTAACCAATAGTTAACGTTTTCATTTTCCAGATTCCAAAGGTTTGCTTTCTCTTTTATGTATTTTTCTGTACACTTAGAGATATGCACATTTATGCTTTTCATTGATCTTTTTGGAAGTTATAGAAATCAGGATGTTGCAATCCCAAATATTTACACTTGGATCTCCTAGAAATGAAGAATATTTTCCTATATAGCCACAACAACATTGTCACAGTGGAGGAATTTACCATCTTATCTGATTTATACTTCATAAATCAAATCTCCCATTGTCTAATAATTTCACTAGTTGTATTACCTAGATGGATTTTTTCCTTTGGGAGCAGCTACCCACATTTTTTCAAGGTTCATGCATTGAACTTAGCTATATATTTATTCTGTCTTCATCTGAGCCTAATTATCTCCAACCTTGTCATTCTTATATTGTTTTTCAAATTTTTTGAAAAATCCAGGGCAATTGTCTTACAGAATGTGCCATATTCTTGGCTTATCTGATTATTTCCTTGTGACTCAGCTCCACTTAAGCAATTTTAAGCAATTTTGGCAAGGATGATACATTATGGTACTGTTCCCATGAACTTTGAACAAACTCAAGAACAAGCATTTTACCAAGCTTAAAAAAAAAGAAGGAAAAACAAAAAAAGGTCTTTTGTAATGAACATGTAGTATATATTACTTTTAACAAAATGGTGGGGTGTCTGAGACAAAATGAAAAAAAGATAGACACTAATCTAGCGTCTGGGATTATTAATAACGTGCATGTATTTGAAAGGGGCCCTTGTTATGTCAGATCTAACATCCTTTGTTGAGTCATCGGAACACAGATTCCGGCAGGGTCAGCCTCTGCCCTTGCACAGTGGCTAATTACTAATTTGGTGCAATGTCTGGAATGCAGGAGGCCGCCCATCCCCACTCAGCTACGCAGCCCCTATTATGGGAGCAGTGATGTCCTGCTACCGGACTCACCCGCTAATGAATACCTGCTGTATGTCAGGCCTGGTGCTTGATCTGTTTCCTGCAACAATTCACAAAGCAAAACCATCACTGTGTCCCCTTTTAAAGGCGAGAAGCTGAGGTTTATCCATGTAACTTCCCCCAAGGACCTAAGAAGCTAACTTAGGACTTGAACCAAAGTCTGCCTCAATCCCT